CGGTTTCGGCATCCTTTTACATGTTTTATTCAACTCTTTTATTTTCACTGGAGGAAAAAGAAAGATCCTTTCCAGCTTCATGAAGGCTCTCTCTCACTAGCGGCTTTGCCATTATCGTCAAATAAATCACTTGGATATGTGTGTGTTTTTTTTTTCTTTGGAGAAATTTCATTCCCAAATGAAAACTTTTTTGTGTCGCCGTTTTTTTTTTTTTTTTTTTTGCTATGAAAACATTTTTATTGCCATTTTTTAAGGAAATTTTTATGGCCAATTTTGAATGATGCCTTTCATTTCCCTTTTACATATTCTATCTATCAGCTAACCAATAAATGATCCATTAAATTGGAATCATCTTGACGCTTTGTCTAAAGTCTATCTTTGCACTCTACTATTAGAGAATAATAATTCTAAGAATATTACCTACACATTTCATCTATACCTTCAAATCACATAAAGCCATATGTATAATGCAATTGATTTTACAGAAAAACAGGAGCTTAAGCTTAGAAGTTCTCTTTATGGAAATCAAACTTGGTGCTTGTTTTCCGGGAAAAGTCTTGAGACAGCCTTTTTAACTCCCCAACTAATCCATGCGCACCACAATAAAACACTCCTGCGCAATAAAATAAAAATTCAAATTCAACCTCATTTCAGAACAACACAAAAGAAAAATTAGAAGAAAAGAGAGTTCTAACGACCTTGCACGTATTATATGTTCATGTTTTGTTGTTCATTTTATTTGAGCTCTCACATGAGATTGAAAATTACATAAGGGAATTGGCTAGCCATAGATATTATTTATCGGCACTTTTACTTAAGCAATCACAAATTTACACGTTAATATTATTGGGATTTACGTGCGTGTTAATTTGTAACTAGTTAAAAAAAAATTTAAGAGACGTTTAATTCATGGATTAAAATCATGTGATTAGAATTATTTTTTATTTACGTGTATTTTTTATGAGAAAAAATACTGTAGAGAACTATGAACCATGATTCAAATCATGGTTTGAATCTTTTAACCAAACATTCCTTTAATGATCATCTCCGCCGGTGACAAATATCCTTTTCTTTCTTTCTTTTTGTTTTTTTTTTTTTTTTTTTTCTAACCTTAAATATTTTCTTTTTCAAATGCATCTTAATGAAAGGCTAAATCGCTTGGGAAACAAATACTTACCGACTCGTTTATCAGTGTGCTTGACTGCTACGTGCTTAAAAACATTGCGCCAATTTGGTCTGGCAAAATGTGTTTTGACTCTTGTCCCTGAGACTATATCAACCCCATTCTTAGCATGATTAAGGGATTGAAGCATAGTGATCAAAGCCGAACGAGCATCTCCTTCTTCATAAACGCTTGTGCAGTAATTGTGGAGCTCAATCACACTATCTCGATCATTCTCCGCCACCTCGTTCATAACACCCCTAAACCACTGGAACGAGCCTTGCTCGCGAGTGACCCAATAGAAGTAAGCTCGTTTGGTGGCGAAAGGCTTTCTCTTGTAGCTGTTCTTAGGGCCACTATCTTCCATCTCATCCCCCATTTCCTTGTGTTGCTTGATGTTGTTGAGCACATCTTTTAGAATGCTAATCAGAGGGGTGGCGCCGATTCCGAGGCCTACTAGGAGGATAACCTCGTATTGTTTGTAGTCTTGTGCTGGTGCACCGTATGGTCCATCGATTAAGAGTCTTGGCATTCTGATAATTAGGAAGAATTTGGCAGTTAGCAGTTTTCATTAAAGTTACTTGAAATATGGGAATTGAAATGGTTTTTGAATAAATGGAAAGGAAGTTGTAGTACTTACCTAGGTCTGTCATTGGCCGGTCCAATATCAGCTCTTAAAAGGCCGCTTTGATTAGAGGACGGAGGCTGACATACCTACAATTATCAGATGCCAAAACTGAAAACTCAATATTTGTCACTGAATAAAGGAAAATTTAATTGAACTTCATAGGTAGATAGAACTAGAACCAAGAAATCGAACAATATCTTCAAGAGAGAGAGAGAATGAAGAATATACCTTGGAGAAAATGGATTTGAGCTGTGAAGTCCAATCACCCAATGTGCGAATATGGACGCTCAAGTAATCGTCTCCAGGAGCCGAAGTAATTGAAAAAGGATGCCTGATGTAAAAAAACTCATCAATATATAACACTTTTTTTTTTT